TTCTCTATATGGATCGAGAATCCTTTTTTTTCAGCTTTACTAACCAGACTCCATATAGATCATCTTTACCCTTGAATGCGTGGGAAAATTCTTTTAACAAAGTTTAAAAAGTAAGTGAAAATAAATAACAATAAAAAATTACATTAAAGATTAACTAAAATCAAGAACAAAACACATGTTCAAATTTTTTAATTTCTAGTTTAATTTTATGGCATTTGTCTCAATTCTTTTCTCTTTTAATTCATAAAACTTTTAATATATAAGATTTTTTTAAAAAAGATTAATGTATATCTATCAATTTTTCTTTTGAAAAACAACGAATGGGCCAAGGAAAATGAGGATGCATGACCGTTGTGAGGAGCGATAATTTCGATCTTTACACATGGATACACATGGACTCCCAACAAACTTAACCTAATTATTTTATATATTTTTTTAAAGAAGATGTGAAACCTCGCGGCTAGTTTGTTGGGACTATTCAAATAATTTCGATCTTGGCCGGTTACACCTAGTCTACACCTAATTGACCTCAATTTGTCTAATTTTCTCAATTAGATTCTAGATTCGCGCTATTTGTCCCAAAAATTTTCTGTTTTAATACATAAGATTAGCGCTATTCGTCTAAAAAATTTTCTTTTTTAATATCTAAGACTCATGTTATTTCAATTATAAACTCATTAATTTGTTGAGAAAAAAATTCTGTAATCGGATTTTTGGGCATGGAGATAATCTTAAGGAAAAAGAGATACGCACCAACTTAATGCCTTCTTGGATCCCTCAATCGGACAATAGTTCCTTCCGTTGCAAAATATGCGTTTGTGTAATCGAAACAATTTGGAGTGAACCTTGAGATTTTATATTTCAAGTGGTGCTGGACCTTTTCCACTAATTATTAATAATGTCTTTTTTTTAAAAAAATTCTTCTTCTTCTTGTTGTTTTAATAGGGAATCAATAAATAGCAGTATATATACTCGTACAGAAACAATGTTTAAAGGAAAAACAAACAAACAAAAAGTTGTTAAAATGAATGCAGTAGAACACAAAGTTACATATCTTAATGAATCATATGGATTTGGAGGTCAATGACACATATCTTAATGCAACACAAAGAAGAACTCATACTTAAAAATAATACTACCTCCATCACAAAAATAGTTCACATTGAATTTTCAAATTTGTATTAAAAATAATATAAAATTCAGAACTCAATGTGAACTATTTTTGTGGGACGGAAGGAGTAATAAAAAAAACAGAAAACCAATATGTTGTTCATATTGATGGACTGCATTCTTATAGATAAAGAGATTTCGAACACAGACTCCTAATACAAATAGTCTGATATAGGAACCTCCATAAGCTGCGGTAAATTAATCATTTTCGCTGCACGTATCGATCAGATATGGGATTACAATATCTGAGAAACCCCCATATTGTAATATGTTTTGTTTCTTCTAAATCGTAGCCGCGGATTCCATGTTAACCAACAGAAAAGCAAGAGTCCATATCCATATTAAATATAGCTAATGGAGTTATGGTTGGCCAATTGGTGGGTACGACGAAAATAGAATTATCAAACGTAGTCTTGGACACGTTTCAATTCTGCAAACATCATCGTCTAAAAAAAGAACTTCTGAAAGTCCTTTAAAATCAGTTCATTAGCCTTCTCATCAACATATGCTCACTCAACTTGATCAAGTGGCGTTTGCAAACTCGTAATTTTGGATCCGATCCTACGATCGCAGGTACCTAAATCGATTCTGGATCGATCATACTCAAGTTTTGCAGGGGGATTGGAGTGAGATCGGTCAGGATCGGTTAGTATCGTACAGAATCGGTCAGGATCATAGAATCGGTTCGAGTTTACTATTCATTAATTATAAAAAATTAATTGAGCTTATTGAGATTTTTCTTTTCTCTTATTTCTTTTGGTCTAGATTCAATTGAGACTAATATTCATTGAAGAAAGTTTTATTGTTAAGAAAAATGTATTTTAAAAAGTTTTTCTAATAAAATGAAAAGAATAACTATAAGAGAAGAGTTTTTATTAAAAAGTTATGAAAAAATTCACATACGAAAATTGAATTTACACAATTCTTTTCGTTTAAATGTTAAATACTTAATTTAAAGATAATTGAAACCTAATTGTTAAATACTTAATTTAAAGATAATTGAAACCTAATTATTAAAATAGTTAATTATAGAACATGTATAATTAATTTTATGATCCTATTATTCCAATCTTACTGATCTCGTTTAGGATCCAATTTTATGACTCTATTTCGATCCTACGTAGGATCACGATCATGCAAACATTGCTTATGAGGATCAACGTTTTCCTTGGCGCTGTCATTGTCAATGGTGTCAACTGTCAACGGCATGGTGGCTGTATAGATAAACACAACACCTCATAAAAAATATAAATGTAATAAGCAATTATCCCAAAAATTATGAAAACTAAAAAAAAACATATTAAACTCATGAATGAAAAATATATATGGATCTCTTTGTCTGTAATTAAACGTAGAGCAATTCACCTTCTGAAATCGATCGAGCTGATTTTGGAATATGATTTTTCTGGTAAAATGCATCGCTAGCGGTCTGTTCAATCGGAAACAGAATGTGATGCACTTTCTTCCTCGGAATATCACATTTTTGGCGTGAGAAGATTCAGGCAAAAGGATCGATTCTGCTCCAAAGGCGGCGATAGGAACTGCTTTCATTTCAATCCGAACAATTTGATCCTTTGATAAGCCTTCTTCACTTCGTGCAACGGGAACGCTGACAGATTCCATAATCGTTTTTTCCGCCGCCTGGATACTTCTGTAACCACAATACATGATAAATTACTAAATTCAAAATAAATATTATGCAACAAATGCCAAAACGAATGAACATTTAGGGATTGGAAATAAAAATTACGCAACAACCGCCAAAACGTAAGAACATAGGTATTGAAAAATTACAAATCCATCAATGATTGGAACAAAATCCCCTCACCAGTAAGTTCTCTCATTTTCTTTCTTCTTTTCTATCAAGTGTGGCGTATCAAACAATTCACACAAATCAATATCTAGCAGAATACACAAGAATTTGAAAAGGCGTCACATCATCATACACCAAGCAAATAAACTTACCAATAAAGGTCTTTACATAGGGTTGTAATGGGGCTTTAGGTAAGGAAAAGGGTGGATAATTATGGATGTAGGCTTATTTTTGTCAAGATAGACCAAGTATACTTAAACTCTACCATCTTACCATATATCCCATATAATGACATTGCTCATCCTCACACTTCAGAGCTCAAGTGTGCTTCGCATAAGAACTTGCAGTAAACTTCTCATATTACATTTAAAAACCTATGACATCTCAAAAATATAATTAAGAACTTGCCATACTCTCAAACAAGTAGAAAATAGGGATTCATGCTATTTTTTTTCTTCTTTTTTTTCCGGGTATTTTTCACCCTTTTTTTTTGCATTTTTCTCTTTTTTTTTCTGCACGCCCTATATTACATCAAATGCATAACTTAAAACAAGAACACATGCCACTATAATGTCCAACTCTTACCACAAACCCAGTTTAAGCAACCTAATCCAGAGCTTGACAAAAGGGTAAAGGATAAAAAAAAACAAGGCTAATGGTTTAATGTATCTGGAGCTAAAGAAAAACGGTCAAGGCTTGAATGGTTCACTAGGGGTAAACATAAATGGGTAGGCTTTTTAAGCTAACTTGGCTAAATCTTAGTGCCTTTATTCTTGTGGCAAGCCATCTACAAGAGCACAGATGCGTCCTAGCTCGGCAAATTCAAGATTAATCCATACTAGATATGATATACTTCCCACATAAAAATGTTGAGCATTCAAATATACTAACTCTATTTGTTCAGAAAAGCTCAGATCACTCAATTTAAAGTAACTTTTTTGTGATAATATTCCAATCATCAACTTCAACACTTAAATTCACAACATATCTGAATAGTACATAGCAAAGAAAAATTTATGTTTTTCATGCTTCACTTTTTAACCTATGATGATTAGTAACATAACAGTTGAAACGTTTGAAAACAGTGGTTCAGACTCAAATTTTTTAAAAAAATTTATCAAAAAGAAGTCTAACTCTTTCAAGTAAGCAATTTAATGAAGACGAATTTGAAACACACAAACTCCTCCCCCACACCTAAAGCATACATTGTCCTCAATGTATAAAACATACAGAGACAAAGAATAAAAGCACATACAAACTCCCAAATAATATTAAAGAGAAAACAAAACGGTACTTCCTTGGGAATTCGTAGTGGAGGAATCAAACTTGGTGTGAAGCGAGAGTAACATCTTTTTGCATTAGATCAAAAGGATTGACCACGTAGAAGAATTTTCCTCGAAAGCTTGCTGTCACACTCAAACAACCATTAAAAAAAACTAACTCTACGTCAATTAAATGATTAAGAAAAACCACGAAAATCAAGAAATCATAGATCTCAAGATCATCAGGAACAAAAAACTTAACCACCTAGTCGATTTATTCAAGAAAACAAATAACAAAAATTAAACCATTGGGTTGCCTCCCAACAAGCGCCTTTCTTTAGTGTCTTTGGCTAGACACAGCATGCATCCCACTTACTCATATATGGGTGGAAGCAACGTAATTTCTTCCACACAAGCACTTTCAAAATTCTCAAGAAAAGGTTTTAGTCTATGACCATTAACTCGAAAAATCTTACCAGACTCCAACCCTTTAATCTCAATCATACCATGAGGAAACACCGTCATAACTATAAAAGGTCCATGCCACCTTGACCGCAACTTTCCTGGCATAAACTTGAGTTTGGAATCGAAAAGAAGTACCTTCTGGCCAACAAAGAATTCTTTCTTGTGCAAGAATTTATCATGAATAAGTTTTATCCTCTCCTTATACAATTGAGCATTATCATAGGCCTCCAATCGAATCTCTTTCAATTCTTGAAGTTGCAACTTCCTTTCCAATCCTGCCTCATCAACACTCATGTTGAACTGTTTAACTGCCCAAAAAGCACGATGTTCAAGTTCAACAGGTAAATGACACATTTTACCAAAAATTAACCTGTATGGTGACATCCCAATTGGCGTTTTGTAAGCTGTGCGGTATGCCCACAATGCATCTTCTAAACGAAGACTCCAATCCTTGCGGTTAGGGTTCACAGTCTTTTCCAAAATTTGCTTAATTTCACGGTTTGAAACCTCAGCTTGTCCATTGGTTTGAGGATGATATGCAGTAGATATACGATGATGTACACCGTATTTGCGCATCAATGCTTCGATTGTGCGATTGCAGAAATGGGTGCCTTGGTCACTGATGATTGCTCTTGGTACTCCGAACCTACTAAAAATGTTAGATTTAAGGAATCCTGCAACAACTTTAGAGTCATTAGTTCGAGTAGCTTTTGCTTCTACACATTTCGACACATAATCTACTGCAAGCAAAATATAGAGATTACCAAATGAACTTGGAAAAGGACCCATAAAATCCATACCCCAAACATCAAATATCTCACAAAATAACATTGGGACTTGGGGCATCTCATTCCTAAATGATATATTACCTACCATTTGACATCTTTCACAACTCTTACAAAAATGGTATGCATCTTTAAACACAGATTGCCAATAAAAACCACAATCCAAAATTTTTCTTCTTTGTTCTTTTCGGACCAAAATGTCCACCACATGCATGAGTATGACAATAAGTAAGTATGGAATGAATTTCATCATCAGGAACACATCTTCGAATAATCTGATCTGACCTAAGTTTCCACAAATAAGGTTCATCCCATATATAATACTTTGAAGCACTTTTTAACTTATTCTTTTGAAAAGTACTCATACCAGGTGGAAATTTACCAATAGTTAAAAAGTTAACTATGTCAGCAAACCATGGTTCCTTACCTTCCTTACCTTGCATGGCCCATAAATGCTCATCTGGAAAGAGTTCTGAAATTGGTTGTGACTCTTCATCGCGCACCAACCGGCTAAGATAATCAGCAACAGTGTTGTCAGTTCCCTTTAGGTCTTTGATCTCCCAATCAAATTCTTGTAGTAGAAGAATCCATCGAATTAGTCGTGGTTTTGATTCCTTCTTCGCCAACAAGTACTTGAGGGCTGCATGATCAGAGTAAACAACAACTTTAGTACCTAACAAATAAGACCGAAATTTATCAAAAGCAAACACAGTAGCTAAAAGCTCTTTCTCAGTGGTTGTGTAATTGCATTGCGCCGGATTAAGTGTCTTGGATGCATAATGAATCACATGGCTTTGTTTCCCGTCTATTTGACCAAGTAGTGCTCCTACAGCATAATGACTTGCATCACACATGAGCTCAAAAGGCAAATCCCAGTTGGGAGGTTGAATAATAGGTGCAGAAGTGAGAGCTCCCTTTAATATATCAAATGCCTTCTTGCATTCTTCTCCAAACTCAAATGCAATATCTTGTTGCAACAACCTAGATAAAGATTGTAGAATCTTAGAGAAATCCTTAATGAAGCGTCTATAAAAACCTGCATGACCAAGAAAGTTTCGAATTTCTCGAACATTAGTAGGATATGGCAAACTAGCAATTAAATCAACTTTTGCCTTATCTACTTCTATTCCCCTAGATGACACTAAATGACCCAAAACAATTCCCTCCTTCACCATGAAGTGACATTTTTCATAATTAAGAACCAAATTTTTGTCAACGCATCTTTCAAGAACTTTAGACAAATTATCCAAGCATTGATCAAATGAGTCACCATAGACAGTAAAGTCATCCATGAAAATTCAATGCAGTTTTCAATGTAATCAGAAAATATGCTCATCATGCATCTTTGAAAAGTTCCAGGGGCATTACACAAACCAAAAGGCACGCGACGGTAAGCAAAAGTACCAAAAGGGCAAGTAAAAGTTGTCTTTTCCTGGTCCTCTGGAGCTACCACAATCTGGTGATACCAGAGTATCCATCCAAGAAACAAAAGAAAGCTTTACCTGCTAACCGCTCTAACATTTGATCAATGAATGGTAGTGGAAAATGATCTTTCCTTGTGGCTGCATTTAACTTACGAAAATCAATGCACATACGCCAACCCGTCTCGCAATCTCATAGGAACCAGCTCATTAACATCATTTTTAACCAATTGAAAACCAGACTTTTTAGGTACCACATGAACTGGACTTACCCATTGACTATCAGATATTGCATAAATAATTCCCAAATCCAACTACTTAAGAATTTCTTTCATTACTACCTCTTTCATAGCAGGATTCAATTTGCGTTGAGCATCTCTTACTGGTTTTGAATCTTGCTCTAGCAAAATGCGATGCATGCAAATTGACGGGCTGATTCCCTTAATATCGGCCAAGGTCCATCCTATGGCTGTCTTGTAATCCTTCAAAACCTGCATCAACTTCTCTTCTTGAATCTCTGTTAAGTCATTGGCAATGATTACAGGCAAAGTCTCATCTTCTCCCAAGTAAACATACTTGAGATGATTTGGCAATGTCTTCAATTCAAGTTTCGATGCCTGCTCAACAGAAGGTAAAATTCTATCATAATTCAGCGGCAAATCAAAGCGTTGGTTAACTAACCTAGAAGGTACTTCCTGTAGTGCACAAAGTTCCATAAGTGATTCTATGATTCCCTCATTCACTTCAAAACAAATGTCCTTCTGTTGCATGTTATGCTTAAGAACAAAATCCAACTCATCCTTCACAAAATTATGCTCAAAATCCTCTTGGACTAATGTATCAATCATGCTAACACTAGCAAAAGATTCAAAATCATTTGGATACTTCATAGCATCAAACATATTGAAGGTAACTTTGTCACCATCAAATTCAAAAGTAAAAGTATCAGAGTCCACATCAATCTTTGTTTTAGCTGTTTTCATGAATGATCGACCCAACAAAAGGATTTCAGATTTAGAAACATGCTCATCACTCATGTCAAGTATATAAAAATCAGTAGGAAAAACAAGTTTGTCACATTTAACCAAAACATCTTCAACTACCCCTTCTAGATATATTACAGATCTGTTAGCCAATTGAATTATCACATTGGTGTTCTTAAGAGACCCAATATTTAATTCCTTAAAAAGGGATAAAGACATCACATTTATGGAAGCTCCTAAGTCAAGCATAGCTGATTTAATCATTCTCGACCCAATCACACAAGAAATAGCAAACATACCTGGATCGGAGCACTTTTGAGGTAACTTTCTTTGGATAACTGAAGAAACATTTTCACTTACAAAGATCATACCTTCAGGCTTCCTTTTCTTAGAACACAATGATTTAAGAAATTTTGCATAACTTGGAATTTGACCAATTGCATCCAACAATGGAATATTAATTGCAACCTTTCGAAAAATCTCCAAAATATCTTTCTCACTTTCCTCCTTCTTCGCTTTTGCTAACCTGCCAGGAAAAGGTGGAGAAATCACTATTTCTGGTTTAGATTTAACATGCTCAGAACTTACCTCTTTTTGTGGTAGTGGGGTGGTGTCTAAATCTTTCCCAACTTCTTGTGAAATTTCTTTAGATACTCCATCTTGTATCTTAGGACCTTGAAGCTCTTTCCCACTTCTCAGCGTCATTGCACTAACATTTTCTTTGGGATTAATTTCTGGTTGGGAAGGAAGCCTTCCTGCGTTAGCCTCTAATTTTTGCAATGAGGTGGCCATTTGAGACATTTGTTTCTCTAAGTTCTGTATGCTAGCTTGAGAAGACTGTGAAGCCTGTGTAAGACCATGCACATTAGTTGCTAAACTTCTTACCATTTCCTCTAAAGACATACCTGACGTAGATGATGATGATTGATTCGGAGGTGGTGTTGGTGTAGAACTTCTCATGATAGGTTGTGATTGTTGCTGGAAGTTTGACTGTTTGTAGCTGAAGTTTGGATGATCCCTCCATCCTGGATTGTAAGTATTCAAATAGGGATCATACCTCCTCTGTCCTTGTCCTGGAAACCCACCCAGAGCATTAACTTGCTCGTTGGGATCATCTTGTAACTTGGGGCATGAATCAGTAAAGTGCCCAAAATTTGAGCAAATGCCACAAGCCTTGACAGTTTGTACTTGCCCTACAGCCATTTGACGCACCAAAGAGGTTAAATCAAATATTTGGTTTTCTAAATTTAAAATACTTACCTCATTGACATGTCTGGTAGCTGTTTCTGCTCTTTTATTAAATGCTGAGTAGTTTCAGCCATGGTTGAAATCAAGTCGGTAGCTTGTGCTGGTGTTTTATTCATTAAAGCTCCCCCACTAGCTGAATCTAACTTGTCTCGATCCACCTCTGATAGCCCTTCATAGAAATATTGAAGTAGTAACTGTTCAGGGATTTGATGTTGAGGACAACTCCTACATAACTCTCCGAATCTTTCCCAATATTCGTACAATGTTTCTCCATGGAGTTGTCGGATTCCACAGATATCTTTCCGAATATTTGCTGCACGATGTGCTGGAAAGAATTTCTCCAAAAATTTCTTCTTCAACTGATTCCATGAAGTGATTGAACCAGCTGGTAAACCATATAACCAGCGCTTGGCTTTGTCTTCCAAAGAGAATGGAAAAGCACGTAGCTGAATTTGCTCTTCAGTGACTCCTGGATAGCTTACCGTTGAGCACATAGAATCGAACTCCATCAAGTGCTTATGAGGATCCTTACCTGCAAAACCACGAAATTTAGGTAATAATTGAAGTGTACCTGGTTTTAGCTCAAAACGTGGAGTATTTGCAGGTATGGTTATGCAGAATGTTCGTAAGTTCACATCTGGAGTCGCAAGCTCCCTCAGAGTTCTGTCACCCATACTTTCTTCTTCAAATTCTTCCCCTTTTTCAGAGCTTGTAACTTCTTCTTTTTCTTCTTCTTCTTGGCTATCGTCCTCTTGAGATTCAGGTGTAGCACTAAGAAGTAAATCTCTTTTCCTCTTTTCCTTTCGGTTCTGTTTAGCTGTCTTTTCTATCTCAGGATCAAACAATAATCTTTCTGTATTATCAGAACGCACCATAAAATTGAATAAAAATAAAAATAAAAATAAAAATAAAAACAAACTTTTAACAAGAAATAAATCACTCTAGACCGTGCTCCCCGGCAACGGCGCCAAAATTTGGTGGGTGTCAAACCAACAAAAATAAAAGATTCTAGTCCTAACAAATTTAGTAGTATAGCAATGAGTAGAGTCGTCTCCTTAAGGAGCAAGGAAGTGAAAATATTTCTAATCAAAAGAAAGTTAACTAAATGGGAGAGATTTTGGATTTGTAACTAATGAATAACAAAAATAATTTGCAAGCAATAAAAGATACTTTTGGAAAATCAATAATAAGAGCAACTCTAGTCAAAGGAATAATTTCCACCTTGATGTATCCAACTGATCATTGATGCAAAGATTAACTCAACAAATGATGAATATATTAGTTATCGTTATTGGAACCTCCTAACAACTCAGTCTTTTTATTTAACTACCAGTGACTAAGAAACCTTCATTAATCACTCTATAGCCAAAAAACACTACCTGGAACCTCCTAGGATTCAGTTTTGACAAGCAAAGACCCAATTCAATTTCTAACAAACAAACCTTGTTTCATTAAAAATTGATTATTTATTCTTACAACACAAGTAAACTACTTACCAAGTAATTATTTGCATTGTCTCTTCTAAGGAACAAACAAACCTTGTTGTTTAATAAATTAGATTATCTAGGAGAATTGAATGCTACCAGCTATTCAAATAATGCCAAATAATCATCCATACACATCAAAGAGAATAAATAAATACTCAAAATTCGTTGGTGAAAAGCAAACAGTTAGATCTCGCAATTGAATAACATCAAGGCTTCAATAAAATACTTTAACTAGAAAAGAGGTTTAGTTGCTAATCATGGTGAAATCAACAACACAAGAATTGATGTTTGACATTACAGAGCAAAAACTGACGAAAACGGAGAGAAATCCTTGTCCCGAGCTCCACTTTGCTGCTCCCGTGTTGTGCCTCTTCTCCTCCTTTAAAATAATAAGAAAAAGACTATTTATATGCAAATTTAGGGCATCCCCACGTTCAGCCCGTCCAAAAATCGCAGCAACCAATTACAATTTTCAGAATTTGCAAATTGGTCCTGAAGTTTGCCAAAATTACAAATTGACCCTAAAACTTTGGAAATTTTGCACTTTAGTCCCTGTTTCAGCGTGCCCACGCGGGAATACAACGTTGTTTCTGGAATTTCCTGCTTCCTTCATTGATTTTGGCATGGATTTTCTGTGCCCACGTGGGAATTAACCACTTCTTCTCTAACTTGAAACTTGATTCCATAAAACCTTCAAAATCTCTTCAAAATCAACACTTTTCTTCTTTTTATTCCAAATCCTTCCAATGATCAAATTAAGAACCAAAGCACTAATATTAGCATAGATAATATTCAAAACAACACATAAACCACCACAAATATCATGCTAATATTAACATGATCACTAATTAAAACTAAGAATCTGGACACATTTATATATCATAATTAATAGAACGAAATCTCAAGATAATATGGCAATACTGTTCCCATTAAGTGTGAAGATAAGATGATGATTATATTCTTTTTTTAATTAAGTTGATAAGATTATAAATATATATATATATATATTTATTTATTTATTCTCTATATGGATCGAGAATCCTTTTTTTTCAGCTTTACTAACCAGACTCCATATAGATCATCTTTACCCTTGAATGCGTGGGAAAATTCTTTTAACAAAGTTTAAAAAGTAAGTGAAAATAAATAACAATAAAAAATTACATTAAAGATTAACTAAAATCAAGAACAAAACACATGTTCAAATTTTTTAATTTCTAGTTTAATTTTATGGCATTTGTCTCAATTCTTTTCTCTTTTAATTCATAAAACTTTTAATATATAAGATTTTTTTAAAAAAGATTAATGTATATCTATCAATTTTTCTTTTGAAAAACAACGAATGGGCCAAGGAAAATGAGGATGCATGACCGTTGTGAGGAGCGATAATTTCGATCTTTACACATGGATACACATGGACTCCCAACAAACTTAACCTAATTATTTTATATATTTTTTTAAAGAAGATGTGAAACCTCGCGGCTAGTTTGTTGGGACTATTCAAATAATTTCGATCTTGGCCGGTTACACCTAGTCTACACCTAATTGACCTCAATTTGTCTAATTTTCTCAATTAGATTCTAGATTCGCGCTATTTGTCCCAAAAATTTTCTGTTTTAATACATAAGATTAGCGCTATTCGTCTAAAAATTTTCTTTTTAATATCTAAGACTCATGTTATTTCAATTATAAACTCATTAATTTGTTGAGAAAAAAATTCTGTAATCGGATTTTTGGGCATGGAGATAATCTTAAGGAAAAAGAGATACGCACCAACTTAATGCCTTCTTGGATCCCTCAATCGGACAATAGTTCCTTCCGTTGCAAAATATGCGTTTGTGTAATCGAAACAATTTGGAGTGAACCTTGAGATTTTATATTTCAAGTGGTGCTGGACCTTTTCCACTAATTATTAATAATGTCTTTTTTTTTAAAAAAAAAATTCTTCTTCTTCTTGTTGTTTTAATAGGGAATCAATAAATAGCAGTATATATACTCGTACAGAAACAATGTTTAAAGGAAAAACAAACAAACAAAAAGTTGTTAAAATGAATGCAGTAGAACACAAAGTTACATATCTTAATGAATCATATGGATTTGGAGGTCAATGACACATATCTTAATGCAACACAAAGAAGAACTCATACTTAAAAAATAATACTACCTCCATCACAAAAAAATAGTTCACATTGAATTTTCAAATTTGTATTAAAAATAATATAAAATTCAGAACTCAATGTGAACTATTTTTGTGGGACGGAAGGAGTAATAAAAAAAACAGAAAACCAATATGTTGTTCATATTGATGGACTGCATTCTTATAGATAAAGAGATTTCGAACACAGACTCCTAATACAAATAGTCTGATATAGGAACCTCCATAAGCTGCGGTAAATTAATCATTTTCGCTGCACGTATCGATCAGATATGGGATTACAATATCTGAGAAACCCCCATATTGTAATATGTTTTGTTTCTTCTAAATCGTAGCCGCGGATTCCATGTTAACCAACAGAAAAGCAAGAGTCCATATCCATATTAAATATAGCTAATGGAGTTATGGTTGGCCAATTGGTGGGTACGACGAAAATAGAATTATCAAACGTAGTCTTGGACACGTTTCAATTCTGCAAACATCATCGTCTAAAAAAAGAACTTCTGAAAGTCCTTTAAAATCAGTTCATTAGCCTTCTCATCAACATATGCTCACTCAACTTGATCAAGTGGCGTTTGCAAACTCGTAATTTTGGATCCGATCCTACGATCGCAGGTACCTAAATCGATCTCGGATCGATCATACTCAAGTTTTGCGGGGATTGGAGTGAGATCGGTCGGGATCGGTTAGTATCGTACGAATCGGTCGGGATCATAGAATCGGTTCGAGTTTACTATTCATTAATTATAAAAATTAATTGAGCTTATTGAGATTTTTCTTTTCTCTTATTTCTTTTGGTCTAGATTCAATTGAGACTAATATTCATTGAAGAAAGTTTTATTGTTAAGAAAATGTATTTTAAAAAGTTTTTCTAATAAAATGAAAAGAATAACTATAAGAGAAGAGTTTTTATTAAAAAGTTATGAAAAATTCACATACGAAAATTGAATTTACACAATTCTTTTCGTTTAAATGTTAAATACTTAATTTAAAGATAATTGAAACCTAATTGTTAAATACTTAATTTAAAGATAATTGAAACCTAATTATTAAAATAGTTAATTATAGAACATGTATAATTAATTTTATGATCCTATTATTCCAATCTTACTGATCTCGTTTAGGATCCAATTTTATGACTCTATTTCGATCCTACGTAGGATCACGATCATGCAAACATTGCTTATGAGGATCAACGTTTTCCTTGGCGCTGTCATTGTCAATGGTGTCAACTGTCAACGGCATGGTGGCTGTATAGATAAACACAACACCTCATAAAAAAATATAAATGTAATAAGCAATTATCCCAAAAAATTATGAAAACTAAAAAAAAAAACATATTAAACTCATGAATGAAAAAATATATATGGATCTCTTTGCTGTAATTAAACTGTAGAGCAATTCACCTTCTGAAATCGATCGAGCTGATTTTGGAATATGATTTTTCTGGTAAAATGCATCGCTAGCGGTCTGTTCAATCGGAAACAGAATGTGATGCACTTTCTTCCTCGGAATATCACATTTTTGGCGTGAGAAGATTCAGGCAAAAGGATCGATTCTGCTCCAAAGGCGGCGATAGGAACTGCTTTCATTTCAATCCGAACAATTTGATCCTTTGATAAGCCTTCTTCACTTCGTGCAACGGGAACGCTGACAGATTCCATAATCGTTTTTTCCGCCGCCTGGATACTTCTGTAACCACAATACATGATAAATTACTAAATTCAAAATAAATATTATGCAACAAATGCCAAAACGAATGAACATTTAGGGATTGGAAATAAAAATTACGCAACAACCGCCAAAACGTAAGAACATAGGTATTGAAAAATTACAAATCCATTCCTAGCAACACCTTCCGGCACTGTAGAAATGAACACCAACTCCATCGCTGCACTCGTCAAAAGTTACAAAAAAATTAAAATATGTAATTCCTATGAATAATTTAAAATAAATTCAAACCAAAAAACTAAAAAAAAATAAACAAAAAAAATAATAGAGAGAATACCTGAAATTTTTTGAGCGGTGTCAATTCGTAATACTGACTGGTGATCATTTTATTGTTGATCAAATATTAGACTCTCACATAACAAATCATATCCCAATGACATCTGGATACACATTATCTTCTCTTTGTATTTTTTTTTTTAAAACTTGATGAGATAGAAAATCTGATGAAAAAACAAACTTAGAATAATAAAATTATGGGACCCTCACAAAACAAATTATATTGCAACAAATAAGGGATAAAAATTATCTTCTGTTTACAATGAGCTTTTAAAATTCAGATTTAGATACATCTTAACCTTTAAAGATCAAACGGTAAATAGGTGAAAATAAAAATTACAGGGCAAAAATTACAGTGGTCTAAATGAGCTCCTTTTCTCCAATTATCAAATTCGGCTTCTACAAACTGAACAAGTGTCGTAAATCTCCTCTGCATTAATATATATGATGATTGGAACAATAACTGTATGTTTAAATAATCTAGAAAATAAAAACAAAAAGAGGAGACAATGATTAAAAAAAAAAGAAAAGAAATTTATTGACATTGCGCTTCAATTGTGCACATAACGGGGTTAATCCAAAAAAATAAAATAAAAATAATAATGCACATAACGGGCGGTTGTCTATTCTTTTGGTGTCTTACCATGAAATGCTCCAAATCAAGTTTTCAGATTGTTGAAAACTCTGCCTAATGAAACAATGCGATCTCGCACAAAATTCAAGATGTATTATTATCGTTTCTGTGTTTTACCCGTACGAAACAAAAACCCCTCAAAAAGTAAATTAAAAAATCATAATGATTGTTGGAAATATGTAATACACTAGTTAATTGAATTTTCGCAGAAAAACATTATTATTATTTTCGTGGTATAAACCACCATTGAAATATTACCACATCAGTTTCACTCATCATTTATCTTTTTGAAAGTATCCTCATGAAAAGCCATTAATAAGAGCGAATCGATAGTTGTCCATGTGTGTTGGTGATTATCGGCCTCTTGATACACCCAGAATCGATTCTCAGAGGAGAGCAAAATAGAAGGATTTTTGGGGCTAAGGACGATAGTTAATAAGATGTAGAATTATTTAAAAAAGTCACCAATAAGAGATTTACACATCGATTTTACAATAATCTTACGTATACACCGGATTTATCATTTTCTCTTTTGAAATCCGAAGGGGTATATATATATATATATATATATCCACACACACATGGCCACCAAGCTTACGGGCTACGGCCGCCAAACTTCTCTTCAGGTTGTATTTTGATGCACCATTAAAGGTTTGGGTCAAGCTTCCGATGATGAATGGAGGTGGAGTATACATTGCTTAACGGTGATGTTTCCACTCCACAATAAAAGAATGGTAAGAAAAGAGAAAGAAAAAGAAAAAAACATGTACCAAAACCACTCAATAAAACTATTTAATCACTAATGTAATATTCTTGAAATCATAATACTGTTAATAGTATTCTCTTTTTTTCTTTTTTTGGGTACATGTTAAATAGTATTCTCTAACAAGTCAGATGTAATAACTGATAAGGTGTACATCTTTTGTGCCTGTTATCAATTCTAGTTAAGTATCCTGATTTCAAAAATAAATGACGTAATTATAGAGATAATCCAAATAAACAAGACTCATTTGTTACATTTAACAATTTAGTCAATTGCTACAACAAGAACATTTAGATATCGTGACAATATTATGACACGATAATTGAAAACTTTATTTTATAGTTATTCAAACAGGGAAAAAATTAGTATTAATAAAAAAAATGGAAATGATAAAACCGATCAGTCCCTTTTTGTTTTTTTTTTTGAGAATAAACCTCCAAGCTTAAGTCAATTATTAGGGTTGAAAAAATAAATTAACTTAATCTTCCCTCTTTTTTGATTGATTATTAATTTCATTAACCTAACAAAATACTAATCACTTCCAGTGAATTCATCACAAAACAACTATTGTTAAAAAAAAAAAACGGAAAAAAAGCCCAGCGCAATACAATAAGAGAAACAATTCATACTAACCACAGTTTCCAAAATCTCAAACAACATCATAGTGCATGTAGCTTTCCCATTGCTTAATCATTTAATGCGAGAAGAGTATCCAAATTAAATCTGGAGAAGGTTAATTATGGTGCGATCACGTAACTTGCACGATCTTGAAATGTTAATTACTATTTATGTTTTGTACACTTCAATTTTTATTTTTATTTTTTGTTTGGACTTCCTATCCTCGCAATCCATTACGTTTTCTCTCCAATTTTTATCTTTCTTGCTATTTTCTTCCTTTTTCTGGGGGAATTTGCACATAATCCCTATATATAGCATGCATTTATTTTAACGGGGTCCTTCATAATTTAAATAAACAAAGAGAAGAACACTACTGGTCAAGTGACATATTGGGTCTCCTATTCACGTTATGTTATGTTGTGATCTCCTATAACGAGGCCTCGCATTGTACCAAAATAAATAAATAAATAAACAAAGAAAAGGACACTACTGGTCACGTGACTTGCACTATTCTAGGTACTTTTATTTAGTCTTGTGAAAATACTTTCATATATTAAGAGCAATTCGGAAAATGCATACAAATTTAAATCCATGGCTAGTACAGCCCCTTGACCATTTTGTGAACATTTTCTACGATGAATCTACTAAGTTACAATCCGAGATCATGTGAGAAAGAGACACTCGACTTCCTTAAGAATCCCATTAACATGGTAGGAAATCTGCATCATTTCCGTTCATAGATCGAAAGCCTGTATAAGGAAACCTCTTGGGAGGTAATTCATTTGAAACTAGCGTGTGCTCAAAGACTTAATCTTTGCCAAATTGATCCTTCGTCCGCACAGTGATCATTTATGAACAATAATAGACTCATTTCGGATTTCGAATTCAATGAAAACGAAACAAAAACAGAATTATTTTAGTTTTTAAGGACGAGACTGTTGAAATTCTACCTGTGCCAAAGAAGTATTCTTCCCCATGACCATGAGTTCCCTTTCTCTCTCGCCTCTCTCGGCTCCCCTATCAGAAAAACTTCCTTTTTTTCCACACCCACCATAGTCTTACATCATCCATCCAAAATGAGCTAATATTTGAAAAATGATCTCAAAACAAGAAAGAGGATTAACATTACGATTCTATTCATGACAACATGCATAGAATTCAGAATGTTATTTTGGTGTATTTTGTTTTGGGTTTTTGGTCTAAACTAATGGTTTGAAATTTTTGCAGCTCTAATATTTTCAATACTTGCTCCTGGCCTAACCTCTTTTTTTCACCCAACAACACATCATCTTGATCTTCCTCTTCATCTTCATCATCTTCCACCCAAAGTTCCGGATCATGGTAATTTGCTCTTGGCAGCAGTGGCGGCTGGTGGTGGTGGTTGCCGCCCACTTTGGAGAATGACACCGATCTCCTTATCATGTTGCCGACGTTCAGAACACCTGCAAATTAGCATTGTATTCATAGATCATCATATTATAAATGTTTGGAAAAAAAAAAAGAATAACAAAAAAAAAAATCATTGTATCTTAACACTCTTGAAAATGAAAATAAAAGGTCTGAAACACCATGGATATTAACATATCATGAGGATTGTCATTTTTTTCGAAACAGTGATTCCACATGGAAAAAGGATAGCTTATCATCAACTGGGATCTTGGTACATAATTTTTGATGGACTGAAAAGTTTTCGTTGTACTTATATTACAGACTTTTATTCCTTTATTAATCTTAATGGGTTATGATAATTTAAAACCTTAGGATCAGTGGTGCTAGAATGTTATAAAGGGAAGAACACGGCAGCAAGCCTGTGGATGTAGTTGGCCAGAGAAGAATTCTTGTGCGACCACATAACTTACACAATATCTTGAGAAATTATTTGCTTATTTCTTTTTTGGTATCCGAGCTTGAAAACAATTTGTTTTTGTTGTGCTTATGTCTAAGATTTTATTTCGCGTTTGTATGAAACTATTAATAATGCAGTTAAATTAGTTGAAAATGTATATTTGTATTCAGCAAGGTTTGTTTCCTCTAATTCCATCTAATCTATAAACTCAGTTGGGGAGAATCTATTTTTTGTTTTGTAAGAAAGGTTTTCTCAATATTAGGAAAGATTTTAAGTTCGATCACGTAACTTGCACGAACATGAACTTTCATTTTATTTGTGTGTTTCGTATGACACACCCCTAGTTACCTATTTTATTGTAAGCTATTGGCCTATATCATAATAATTTTAGTGCAGAAACCTCTGGATATTTAATATGTCTATCCAAACCTTGTAAATCCAAAATTTTTAGGTAACTTATTACTATTGAAAAATGTTAGTTTGTAAATAACAACAAATTTTTCATATCCGAAATACCTAAATATTTCTCGGGATAAAAAACGCACTCATGGATAATTTGTTACTTTTTTCCCGGTTCCTAACACTCAATATTTAAACAAATTTCAAGATCTGGCAAGTAATTTGCATGTTCCTAATAGCTTGTTGTTTTGCTTCAAAAACGCACTTGCTTCTCTCTTAGCCTCCTCTTATTCTCACCCAGTGGGCCAGGCTTAACTATAAAGCCACTAAAGCTAGGGCTTTAGCCACTAAAGCGAGATGGAGAAAGAATGAGAAGAATTCTAGGGAAACCACGTGACTTGCACAATCTTGGAAT